ACAAAGTCTCTGAGTGTGTATGATCAAATAGGGAGATCCAACGCGAGATTCCATACAAAATCGGATACCTGAAAGGTCCTTTTCTTCGAGGGCTCGCATGGCAGTCGCAAGAAGGGAAAGTGAAGAGCCAGCAAGGTAGCAGCCATTTTAGCCATAGAATAATATGACAAGGGTAAACGTACTAGTCGTAGGCCACGGTCTCAGTGAAAGATATGATAAGATATAAGTGCCTTCCCGCAACTCCAGCTCGATTCGATGGGGTGCCCCCCACCCTCTGAACTACATTTTCATTTTTTTAGTCATCATACAGGTTTGCCCTCTGGTATTATTTCGCGACTATTACTATTTCATATAATTTTTTGAAAATATACGGTGTACTAGCTTTTCGCAGTGCTCACTTTTGAGGATTTGCTGATATATTCAATGAGATGTCATGCATTATTTAATTCAGGAGGTGTTTGATGTCGACGAACTGCTCGGTCCCAGCGATGGTAGCAAAGATGAAGTTACCGAACTAGTCGACTCAGGCGGAACAGTATCTGATTGTGCTGCCGAAGTAAGTTAACATGCGCAGAGAAGGCGCCGTGACAAAAGCAAACCTGCACCCGCCAGTGGAATCGCTGGCCACCACGGGAGCAGCTTGGTGTCTGAGATGCCGGACAAGCCACAGATGTCCATTTTTCTCATTTCACTCCTATGAGAGTCTCGTGGAAACTCCGCTTTCCACCAAGTTCACTTCCTATGCTACGGCTACATACAGTGTCGGTCAGTTCTGAGATCCAACCGAATATTGATAGCTATCCTTGTTTCGTTGCTCGTTTGTCTGCTGGCTAAGGTTTCATAAACCTGGAGATGCTACGATGCTAGCTTCTGCCAACGTATTGAGGCACTTGTAGTTGAGCCTTTTTAGTTCAATATTTGTTAGGTGTTAAGAGCTCCTCATTGAGCGAATGCCAAGGTAATCTACCTTTCCTATCATAATCCGTGATGCTGTACTTACTTTTACTTTACAAAACGTTGCTGTTAAATCTCTGTTTAGTAACAATTGTCTAATGCCCTTGAAAAGGGACGAGTTTGCTTTTTCAAGGTGTCACAGTGGCTCATTTAAATTCCTAGCATACAAATTCATCGGTGTCGATATACGTAGTAGCTCGAAAGCTCTTGGTATTCCCCACGTTGTGTGTTCTTGTTTGTTGGATGTTCCACAAGCCTAACATATTGACATCACATCACATCGTTATAGGGTTAGATTTCAATCATCACGTCATTGTGAATATTATTTTCTTCAGAAGAAGTGTAGTAGGGATTGCTGACATCACACGTGTCATCTAGTACTCGCATCGAAAGCATTCTCCTTCTAGCTTGCTTGTATCAATTGGTTTTTTATAAGAAGAGCAGTGTTATAAGAGAAAGACACAAAGATTCTCTATCGGTTTTGTACAATGCGTCAACGCGGCGGAACATTCAGCTTTTGACGAGTTAATGTTTATACATTCACCAAATGAGAGTAGGCAAAGTTGATCTTTCATAGTGGGTGTAGTGAAATTAGGCAGGCTCAAATGAACTGTAAAGCTAGCCCATGAATCCACGAAAGTAATGAAGGTGAGCTTAGAAAAGTGTGGGATTTAGTAAGGCACCCCTATATTTGTTGTTGATTGCTTCTGGCACAGTAGCTTTATCACAAGCGTAGAGAACCATATACGGATGAACCATACGTAAAGGTAGATTTTAATTGGTCCAAGCCCATTTGCTTCTTCAACCCACCACTTCTGCTTTTAAATGAGCATTGCATAAGATTTCCTCCATGTTTTAACCTTCCGTGTTTCTCAAAGGCTGGATCACTATTGGGTAGAGGGCAGTGACCGACCTACCCGCGAAGATGAAGGCAAAGTCCCTAGATCATTTTTTGCAGGTGGGAGGGGGGAGGTATGTGACTCGCTTACGTGACGAAAGTAGGGTTGTGCGCCGTGACAGGCTGGTTCGAGAGCCCAGAACACATCGCTGTCGAATCCTTCTGTGAGATGTTTCTGATTACCGCTTTCGTATGCGCCACACCTTAATACGCCGTATTGAGATTAGGGGAGAAATGATCCAGAAATGACTCGACCGTAGCTGAAATAGAATAGTCATTGGGGTTGTCGTCATCTCAATGGGATATGAACCTATTTTTGGAATTCTGGTACTCTACTGAATTGAGCCGTGATCTACGCTGAAAGTTGTCAATGTTTACATAAATTGGGTATCTTCTGTAAAATTATTAATATGGTGATATGGTGATAAGAGCCTGTTACAGTTTGCACAAAGCGCTGCCTTTTTGTGTGTGAGTCTAGGCTTGGAGAGTTTTATTTTACTGAACTTTTTTCATACCATGTAACCCATAGGTCAAGCTGAAGTGAAAATGCTGTTAGATGCGAGTACTGATCAACAGTACCTATTCGACGTTGGCCTAGTGTGTTTCGTTTATTTGAAGGACTCAGAAACAAATGTGGCTATTAGCCTACGAACATTTTACAGTTTCGGTCTATACTGTATATTATGGCTGGTAATTAATTTTTAAAATAGTCTGAGACCTATAGTTTAGTTTTATGCTGATTGATAACTCATATCACTCCTTATCACATATACCTGCTCTCGTTAACATTCTCTTTTATGGGGTTGTTGAATGGGACGTGTGTTTATTTTGTGCTCAATAAAAAACGAACACATTGTAGCGGTTTTAAACTAGCTCGGATCATAAAAGAAGTAGGGAAAGAATCTTGTGGAACATTGAAGAGAAGATTCTTGTGCAGTTAAGTGAAGAGAGGAATCCCAATATCCAAGTTGCTGGCAGAATAATTCGTCCACATTCGATATGAAAATGATGTTTGTTGGAACCGCATAAGTGGTTGCAGCATTTGGTAGTATGGAAATCATAATTTCAGCGCCAGGGTTTATTGTAGTCAGCTCCATCCGACCCTTGTGTCACTTGTTTTGGGGGCGGATCCATGCTCTCATTTTAGATTCGGATTTTTCCACCATTTCAAGATTCAGCTGCATCATTTTAGCAAATTCGTTTACTACCACAACGGACGTTTTTCGGTCCATTTTCACCCACCACCGTTCCAATTATTTTAGCTACTCTATTTTGCACTTTCTAGCTCATTTTTTTGCGTAAGTGTCTTTCTTTGAATGTTCTAGCTTGGATCTCTATGCTAGCTAGATATATAGATATGTGCACTCCATACTGCTTTATGTCTCTCTATCGTTGCCACAATGTCTCATAATTTTCTTTGCAGAATGTCTAACGCATTTGCAGCGTTTTGCATTGACTATCCATTTGACTAAATATGAGATGTTAGAAGCTGTGAATTTTATTGTTTCATTCTTTTGATTCTTAAATGTTTCGGATGGACAGCCGGTGCTGAATGTCACCTGGCGCGAGGCATTCCCCGTGCAAGGTACCATGTTCAGTCGAATTCGCGTCCGTTGCCGTAATGCGATTTCCCCTTATCTTTTATTCTCTTGACGCGAAAGTCATAATTCGCTTGAAAGGTCTGGGACCGTGAAAGCCAATGTAGAGTACCTCAATTCATTGGTAACAAAACCGCTACTGTATTCGCAAGCGATTATCTAAAAATGTCGCTGCGTATTTGCGCGTTCTCTACACGGTAGGACCTGCGGCTCACGAACTCTTGAATCCAATGCTTTTAAAGCGTCAATGGGCTGCCATTGTCAGCGCTTTCCCGCCTCAATATTTTGTAACCACTGTGACCTTGCAAGTTCTAGCTTCGGCTCCAAGTGGCCCACCAGCCTCCCACCCCCTGATCCCCTGCATTCATCTCCTGATTCATGAATTCTCTCACACAAAATGTTGGTAGCGGAAACTGAGCTGCGTTCTATCGCGACAGAGGACACGGAAAAAAGCTCAAGTAGTCACGAAGCTCTAACAAACATCTACATTGGTGGAGGGGGTTGTATTCGGATCAGTAAAAGGATTTGTGAGTTATTTCTAGTGGGGCTTCTGAGGATTTATAATTCAAGTTTTGCCCCTTTCTTCTGTCCCTCCTCTCATCCAATAGAATTTTGGGACTGGAGGAGGGTATGTACTACGAAATTGTGATTATGAAGCACTCTGCCTACGATAAATCTCTTCAAGCGGCGCATATCTCTTCAAATTTTTCATGACTGCTCGTACCAATCTTGTCGCCTCAGACTGACAATTTTCCCCGCATCTAAACTTTGATCTGGATTTTTTCTTACTCCCTACAACGCTTGGTGGGTTTCTTTAGAGCGGGATGGTCTTTCAGCGCCTTTAACTATAAACATCAAGAACCGGAATTAGGCCAGAGCAATAAAAGTCGATTTTGGTTTTTTCTTTCTCATTACCCAGTGCTACTAAGCAGTTAAAACTTACCAACGATAGGGGCCGCTGCCTAATCGTCAAGGAAAACTGCTTGTGGAATGGGAGTCGAATTGGGAAGTATCGTAAATTGAGTACTTCTCTTTCAAACCAACAGGCTAATCCTACCTATTCGCTCCCGATTTTTTTCATGTATCTTATCTTATCTGTAAAAACAATGATCTGGTTCCATCCTGACTATAGAGTTTTTGTGTTAGTTGTTCCTCTGGGTTTGAAGATCAAGCAAGTCTATCTCTCTGACGTTCCAGTTTCATTACGTCTTTCCTACCGGTGTGGATTGTTGAATTTTTTGGCTCTTTTCGGGAGGTGACAGGTGATTAACATGGTTTCGTTTCTCGGGCTGCTTAACTGTGCTGCTCCTGACCTTAAAATTTGAATCTTTCAAATCTTTGCCTATAGAAAATCCTGGGATCTGGGTGCAATTCCCTAATAACGAATATGGAATTCATTTTGGCACCACTGTGACTTCGCTTATTTTGGCGCAGCTGAACACGACATGGGCGCTAATCTGCCAGTAGGTGTTTGCAGCATAGATGGATATGGGTGTGGTTCACGGGTTTAATAGTTGAACAGTATTCTTTTCCTGGAAGAATCTGAAGTGATGTCCCCAGCAAATTGTTTTACCGAGGTATTATGGAGATTCTATTCGTGAATTTGGGTCTTTTTACTACAGATATTTCTAGTTTTCCACCACTAATCATAAAACTAAAGTGCCCAATAAATACAATTATTTCGGATAACGGGCAGATGTCAGGCTCGACGATCGTACATTCGCGCTTGCACAGTTGCCGATCGGACATTTATCTACAGTTGTTAACCGAGAACGAATATTGAATTGGAAACAAATCGCTTGGTCGACTTCACCTAACTGACAAGTGGAGCATCTCTGAAAAACACCAGTATGGTGTGGATCGCTAGGACAGAAAGCGACTCTGCACATTGCGAGCTTCGTTTGAATTTGGCCCAATGAGTCCTTAAAGGCGATAAAGGATTACGATAAAGAGGGAGCGCATCGGGGAAGCATATGCACCACACGAAGCAGTTACTGCCAAGGAAGCGAGGTGTGGCGCTTTCACGACGAAAGGTGCGCTGGTTGCTGAGCAGGACTTCGAAAGCACTCCGCCCCCAAAAGCGATCCGCCCACTAGTTTAGTTGGTGATTTGGACGAGCTGCGTTGCCAGCAGCGGCACAACTGGAGCAACTCGATTGGAGCGTGGTTTGGCATGGTGCCACCAAACGCGTTGCGGTGAACTCGTTCATACGTCCGCTTTCTGAGCTGTTACCTGTTCACAAGTGACGGCCAAAAAAGGGGGCCCCGTTCTTACATGACGGATTTTTCCCCTCTTCTAGAACCTATCTTAATCGCTCCCTTTAAAGTTACCAAGTGCAGTGAACTTTATTACTACGTTATTTCTTCAGTTTTGTTTGTATAACATATGCGTTCTTGTGCCCAGGATGGGGGAGAAAATCTCCCGGAGAAGACAAAATTGCTAGCGGACCCAAGGGTCACCCCTTTCAGGCTGAGGCCTAAACGCTCAAAATAAAAGATATGCTTTTCGTGGTTGAGCGTTCTACATAGCGATGTCCTCCTTATTAGATGAGTCCCGGGAATACTTTTCGATTATGTGCGTGCAAAATCAATGTCTTCTTTCAGTACAAGTGTTCATGAAACAATATGAAGTGTGTAAATGAATTAGATGGTTGGTTTGGGTGCATTGCGATTTTTCCTAATCCAAGTTTTCGTGGATAGTTTTCGGGGATATCTCCAGATATCCCCGTGAGCAATCGGGGAGCTATGCCCGTGATTGGCATTCAGTCGGGAAGATGTCCGAGTACCGGTGGTGGCCTTTCTCCGAGAGCTTTCGGAAGACCATACCTTCCCCAGATGTCCCTCTTCTGTTCGGGGAAGCACACCTTGGTCGCAGGGAAGCACCTGAGCTTCGTAGCTTCTTTCCAAGTAGACATATATTTGTGAAAAGTTCTCATTTAATGTTATTAAGGGAGCGACTGTCACGGAGAGCTTGAGCGCTGAGACTCAGGACGAGAGTTTTGAACGTGAAGAACTCGACTACGACGAAGATGATGACGAAGAGCATAAAGAAGAACGTACTGGTCGTTTCACTTCGGAGAGAAGCCAGACAAATTCAGTAAGTAGCTTACCATTAATCGAATTTTCTCATAACTAAAATAGGAAGCAAAAAACAATTTCTGTTCACTGGCGCGGCCGTAACTAGCAATCCCCGCGATCGCGGATTCGCACGATCGCTTCCTCGATACGAATCTTATCCTAGCGAGAGACGGTGAGTGTTAACGCGGCTTTCACACCTCGCGATAAATCGCTAACGAATCGAGCGATTCTGCTCGAGGATTGAACGCGTGTCGACCAAGCGATCATGCGATCCTATG